ATTCCTGCTCAGGTCCCTCACTAAGCTTCTGCTTTCATTTATGTGCACTTAATTTGGGAATGAAATGGCCATGGGTGAGGTCCTCTGATGCAGCCTCGTCTCCTTCGTTTCCTACCATCACTCCCCCTTGCCTGCACCACTCCAGCTCTAATAAACCAAATACACCCCACGCTAACACGGCTCCCATAGCTGACACAAGGCGAGATACTCCAGCACTGGTGCTGTGGGCTTCTTGGGCCAGGGGGACCTGGGGTCTGGCTCTAGGTACGTCTGGGAACACTCACCCCAGTTGCACGGGCAGGCACTCACATGCACGCTGCTGGCAGCCTAATTCAGAGTCCCTTCCACCCCTGCGGTTGGCTTCAGAAGGTCAGCGATGCTGCCTGCTGCTCTTCCTTCTCACCCAAATGACTCCCTGCCCTCCCAAACTACCAACGAGTAGAGGTGGGCACAGCACGTGTTCACAGTCCCCATGGGTGGTACATGGGTGATGAACACCTGAAGCCTGGCTGTCCTTGCCTGCAGTCCCCTGCAGTCATGCCTGGCTGGATGGGACAGGCAGCGCAGCAGGGCTGAACCAGGCACGGGGCGCTCAGAGTGAAGCACGGGGCACTGTGCTGGCTCACCATCCCACATGGGACAGCATACACTTTTTCGGCTTTAAGGAGGAGAGGGGCACTTTCTGCTGTACCAACCACAATATAAATCCACCCATCCTCTAATTCCAGTGGCTTGCATCAAGAACCCCCTGGCTGCCGCCTTTGGAGCTGCTCTTACCTTGGTAACGTGGGTAGTGGTGGAACTGGAGAGGGTTTCCGCAGTGGCAGTGAATATGCTGGTGAGCACCTCCTTCCCAGCGGAGCTGCTGGTGATCTGCAGGACAGAGAGCAGCAGCATCAGCGAGGCTGCCACAGGGGAGCCCCCAGTGCTGGCTCCCGAAGAGCTGGGAAATTTCCACCAGGATGCACCTACTCAGCCAAGCACAGGAGGGGAGAGAGTGGCAAGGGAAAAAAAGACACTGCACTGTGCTTCCAATTGAACCTATTTTTCTTGGGGGGGTGGGCAGGGAGAGGTTTCCACAGCTACCCCAAGCCCAGAGCTGCAGGAAAGGGCCTCTGCAGTGGGCACATGATTTCATGGCTGCGTTTTGCTCTTCCCCATCCATCCTCAGGGCCACCCTAAGTGCAGAGCTCTCAGGCTACCTCTAGCTTTGTCCGTCCCGCTTTGTGTGGCGAGGGCTGGGAAGGCTGTGCTGGTGCCCCAGCCACACAGTGCTGGGTACGTTCTCCCTGCTGCACAAAGTGACGAGCCTGGGACAGCATGTGGCATTTGGCCGGGCTTGACTCCATCAAAACAAGGCAATCGAGTAGTAAAACAATTCATACAGGAAGGCCTGCTGCTGGGCAGGGTTGTTCATGGCCATCACCTCCACTGGGAATCAGGAGACTTTGCGTGTGACCTTGGGTGGCCAGGCAGGATACCCAGGGCTAAAGATATCTCAGCCTGCTATGAGACTTCACCAGGGACTGGGCTATTTTTTTAGGAATTATCCTCCTCCAGCCAATGCTCAAGGTGCGTTTCTGGCACAGGAGAAAGGCCATGGGCAGGGTGTCCCCTGCCATCTTGCTCCCCAACCTTCTGAGCATCCTTCTGCTCTTCCCAGTACCAACACACCAGCCACGGGTGGGTGCTGGGAACATGGGAGGGGGCCCTGTGGGACCAACCCCAGCCCGCCCCACCCCC